TACGAGACAGAGATTTGCTATACGAAACAGAGAACAGAGATTTGCTATACGAGACAGAGATTTGCTATACGAGACAGAGATTTGCTATACGAGACAGAGATTTGCTATACGAGACAGAGATTTGCTATACGAGACAGAGATTTGCTATACGAGACAGAGAACAGAGATTTGCTATACAAGACAGAGATTTGTTTACTAAAATTTGCTGTGTGTGTGTGTATGTTCCATTTTCAACGTTGTACCTTTTACTTTCACAACATTGTATCTTCTTCAACATTGTACCGGTACAAGTCAATCACTGTACTGTAAGTCAATAACTTTAGTGTTTTATTTCTTTTTGAGTTTTTAATTTTAAATTAACCTAATAAAACTATTCATTGTAATTAGCCCTAGTTGGGGGATCGTTTTCTGTATTACTGTATTTAATATCTGGTATCATCTTTGGTCGTGTACTGTTTTTCAACGAGCCATATAGTCCAATAAGAGATTAAATTCTCTCGCTATATAACGGTATGCAACACATTTATTTTGGTTGATTTTTTCCCCCATCTTTTCCGTTTTAACAACCTTTAGTTCGAACAAACTTCCATTCGATCAACATTGCTTCCTTAAAAACTGGCTTATATCAAATTGATGGCGCACTGATTTCCGGTTACTGTCAAGGTGAAGGCCACAAATAATTTTTAAAAAATGCATATAATAAAATTGCAAAAAGACATCCAGCTAACGCTCTCCTTGAAAACTTGAAACGCATCCTCAAGGGGTCCGTAGAACAGGATTTTTAGAACCCCTAGTATACTATAGCATCGTAATAATGTAACAGAGTATAGCTCATCTTCTAACGTACTCATTTGCCCAAGAGGGGAGACTACCCGTGAGCTCAGCGTGATGCCGCTCAAGCTCTTCAACTGCATTGGCTCCCTTGTGTGCTTTAAACCCGCCAAGCCAATCTCCCCCCACCCAAACATTCTTGTTCTGTGTCAAGCAACAACACGAGCTGCCTCTAAGGGAAATAACTATGTGTGATCTACAGATGGTGAGAGAGCTACATCTTGATCTGAGCACCTGACGAAAGGCCTAGACAAGAATCTTGTCTGTGATGTAAAGCAGCTTTAAAAAAATAATTAAAGAAATGTTTTACTCACACAGGAAGTGATACCATTTACAACAAAAAACAAAAAGATCCCCCCCCCCCCAAAACATGTGCCTGTGAATAATGCTAAGTTAAGAGGTTTTGTTGTTTAAACTTTCTGCACTCCTTTTCCCTCCCTTTGTACACACTCTCATTCCCGCCCTTTGTACACACTCTCATACCCGCCCTTTGTACACACTCTCATACCCGCCCTTTGTACACACTCTCATACCCGCCCTTAGTACACACTCTCATACCCGCCCTTTGTACACACTCTCATACCCGCCCTTTGTACACACTCTCATACCCGCCCTTTGTACACACTCTCATACCCGCCCTTTGTACACACTCTCATATCTGCTTTGTTGTAGAGATTATGACAAATTGGTGGGTGTGTATAAACCATTTATAATGTACAAATTAAATTTTGAAATACACAACGTTTAGGTTTGAAGCGTTCTCCGTGTCCTGGCAGGAATCGTAAAAAACCTGGCACCTTGGAATTACCATTTTAAAATACATTAAGGAGAGTTGGGGGTGGGGGGGGCATGTGTCTGGGATGTGTTATGGGCATCATGAGAAAGCCAAACACTGTTTAAGGTATTATTCAAGATTTTTTTGGAATTGAGTGATAATTGCACGAATAGCTGTGCAGTTTTCTATACATGTACGTTTTCATGGAAAATGGACAAAAAGGGACAAAAAGGGACAAAAAGGCTAGAATTTAGTTTTTTTGCGCGTCGCTNGGGGGGGGGGGGGGGCAGGTGTCTGGGATGTGTTATGGGCATCATGAGAAAGCCAAACACTGTTTAAGGTATTATTCAAGATTTTTTTGGAATTGAGTGATAATTGCACGAATAGCTGTGCAGTTTTCTATACATGTACGTTTTCATGGAAAATGGACAAAAAGGGACAAAAAGGGACAAAAAGGCTAGAATTTAGTTTTTTTGCGCGTCGCTTTTCCCCAACTTTTGTCCAAATTAGTTTTTTCCTTCCTTTTAAACACAAAGTTAATCCGTTTAAGCACAAGTCATTTCTTGTGAAACACAAAGTCAGTCCTTTTAAACGCAAAATCAGTCCTTTTAAACACAAATTCAGTCCCTTTAAAACAAAAATGCACTCCTTTTAAACACAAAGTCCGTCCTTTAAACACAAAGTCAGTCCTCTTAAAACAAAAAAAAATCAATCCTTTTAAACACAAAGTAAGTCCTTTTAAACACAAAGTAAGCCCTTTTAAACACACAAAAAAGTCAGCCCTTTTAAACACAAAGTCATTCCTTAACAACACAAACAGTTGACAGTTTATCCATTTTTCCAAAGGCGTCCTTCAAAGACTGTCATAATAAAAGTAGTTTTTTTTACGATGATCGTTAATGATACGTTCTAACCAATTTCGCCAAATGTTACTTTAGTAACAATCACATCACTGGGCGCCATTTCTGTTACAGCGTCAATGTCATAATTAAAAAGGACTCCAATTTCTGCCTCTATTCAGCCCAAAAGTCCAAGCTCTCGCCTCCCCTTGTTCAACTTCTCATCGCGAGCTCTTCACAGCTCTCTGCCCTACTCTTGTCTGTCGAGGGTTCACCATGTCAAGTAATTCTACCAGAGGTCCATCTGGCCTGTCACACAGACCAGACGTAAAAACCACTTCTTACCCCCTTCCTCCCCCACTCACACTTTCCCACTTCAACCTCTCCTTTCACCCCTCTCATCTTTTGAAAGACACCCCCCGCCCCTCTTCTTCACCCCCGTCTGATTCTGAAAGCCGCGCTGTCTCTACACCCCCAATGTGTCTATGTCAATTTGTCGCTCACTTTTAGGCCAAACGAGTAGGCCCTCAGGCCACGCCATGGCACTCAGCTCCCCGTAAACCAGTTATCACTGATTGTCCACGGCCACCCCCCGCAAGACGGACCCCCCCCCCCCCCCCCACTAACCCGCCCCACTCCCCGTAAACCAGTTATCACTGATTGTCCACGGCCACCCCGCGAAAGACGGACCCCCCCCCCCGAAAATTATCCGGGCCCCAGAAATTCGATTTTGGCCCCCGGGAGTAAATCTGTATTAAGAGCTTGCAGACGACACGAGGGCTGAATATACAGGTAATCAAAGTCTGTCTGCCTGGCAAAGGGAACTACATTTGCCACTTACTGCAAGCTTACACAAGAAGTAACTTTGTTACACCGGATAAGCCTGCTGAACAAGCCGAGTGACAGGTTTTCTTTGAGTTTTTTTGTTAAAAAGATCTTTTTAATAGTTTGTTGTGTTTTTTGTGATGTTCTTTTTTTTTTAATGTATGGAATGTAGATTGTAAAGGAAAGTGGGGTAAGTTTGGGGGGGGGGGGTTAATGGACAATAATTCTTATTATAGAAATTAACATAATAATAATATTAAACGATTATTACATTTTGATTTTCCGAATGCCGATTATCCTAAAAGTGGGTTATCCGAACATCCCTTTTATTATTAGTGTGCGCCATGCGAATGGCCTGTGACCTTTGGGGTACAAAAACTGGATATCAATTTCAAAACCTGTCACACAATCCAGGTAAATTCTAGATACGTACTGTCACACAATCCAGGTAAATTCTAGATACGTACTGTCACACAATCCAGGTAAATTCTAGATATGTACTGTCGCACAATCCAGGTAAATTCTAGATACCTACTGTCACACAATCCAGGTAAATTCTAGATACCTACTGTCACACAATCCAGGTAAATTCTAGATACCTACTGTCACACAATCCAGGTAAATTCTAGATACCTACTGTCAGGACCATGCGAAGGAAAAGCTGCTCCTGTAGCAAAGCCTGAAAGATGCCCCCCTTCCCTAATTAACAGTATTTGTTTACGCCGCAGACGTTGCCCCCCCCCCCACCTCCCGTCACTTTTTAAAGGAACTCTTTTTAGATTAAAATCATATGATTCATTGAATCACGGAGAACTCGATTGTTATTAGGCCTATACCTGTGTGTGTGTGAGTGTGTGTGTATGTGTGTAATAAATGCAAAGCAATTTTGCTGTTGTTAAATACTTATTTTAAAAAAAATGTTTATCACTTACAATAAAAGCATAGCATAAGTGATTAGGCAAAGCATGAAAGACGAGACGTGCTGTTACGCCATAGCCACCCAGCCACAGTTAAACCGAAACGTGTTGGGCCAGATTCTTCATGACGCCGACCAGGGCAGTGTTACCATAACATAATTTGCGTGCCAATTCAGTATCAACATATAAGCCTCGGTTTCCCTGTATTTATCTTCTGATTTCTTTAATTTTACATATCTCCAAAAATAGTTTTGTCATTTAAGATCTTATTTTCACAGTAATCATTTGTAAATTCTTTTACTTCCTGTTATTAGTTACCATGGTTTTTCGTAAAATCCAACTTTTCGCAATAACGATGGCGATGCCTTGAAAGTTTTTTAGAACTAGTTTCTATTTCGTGTCGTATTTTCATATGTTCTGTCTCTTGGCCGAAACGTTCTTATCTTACTGTCCTGTCTTCCGATTCAAGCTTCCACATCACCTTGTTCTCAGCTTGAACGCAGTCCTTCATAATTTATTATCTCATCAAGGAACGCTTCTTTTGTTTACATATTAGTATAGTGCCCTCATTACCTCCGAGATTTTCAATTTTGGTAATTTGCCCACTGACACCTTCTGTAGATGAAAGTTCTCCTCCTGTGAGCAGTTTACACGTCACAAAGTGAAATACAGGTGACTGATAGAAGTACGTGCATACGCGCGTTTTTTATTCAAATGATCTAGTATCGGGTTTCCCACAAAAAAATGATTTTAAAAAAGCAACAAATTCACAAAAACAACACCTGCGCACAACAACTGAACGCCCGCACCATTGTAATGTTGTTGACAAAATAAGCTTCTAAAAAAATCCGATAAACATCAACAAAAACACCATCAGATCATCTGGCCAATGTCATGAATTCGCTTTACTTGAAACATCATGATGTGAACATCTTATTTTCAGTTAATGCTTAAACCAAAGATAATGCTTCATCAGGGCATTTTTCTTCTAAAATAACAATAGTTTAAGCATGTCTGACGTCGGTCGCCAGTAGATACATCACCAAATAAATTTACAAAAAAAAATGCAAAGAAATATCAACAACTGTTGGAACCAATCAGCGAGTCATTGGTGTTCACACAACAAGATGAAACAGAAGTACACCAGGGTTGGCTAAGGACGCTTGACCTAAAGGGCCAGGAGGCTTGACCTAGCGGGCCAGGGGTGAACATCAAACAACACAACACCACCACATCTCGTCGGGTTTTGCCCCCCTCAGATCAATGAGGGAAGGTGTCAGGCTAAAGAAGGATCTGGATGACAAGTCTAACCAGGGGCCGGTGAAGAGCTCGGTGTTTCAGATCAAAGGCAGCTTCAGCTCGCCTGCAGGCCACACCTCAGATCACTGCGTGAGTTGTTTTTTTTTTTCATGTAACGTGTTGAATTGTGGAAGGGACAGTGGGGGTAGGGGAGGGTGGGGGTTGGGGGAATGGAGAAATGGAAATAAATGATGGGTTGCTGGATGGATAGGTTGGTGGATCAATGAAAGTATGGATTGATGGAAGGGAGTTGGGTGGATAGACATAGGGGGGGGGTGGAGTTAGTAAATTCTTCGGGTAAGCTTGAGCCTTGTCTACGCTATATCTCATCTCGTCGCTATATCTTTCTATCACAGGACACCATCGACACGACTCCGAGCATTGTATGGGTTTCTCGTGACAAGGTAACCTCACCGTCCACCCAGCAGTGCCCATTGGCCGATAGGAAATGTGCCCGCACGTACGAATCAAACAATTCCAAAGGAGACTACTGCCCAAGCTTGAACTCTGTGGACGGGGCGTCAAGCACCCAGTGGAGTCACAGGTACTCTTGTAAACCGCTGGAAGACAACCTCGGAGCGTCCGGGTCAAAGGACTACAACTTCTCCCACGCCCGCTACCAGCCTAGCCATAAAGCCTTAGACAATTACATGCGCTTGAGGACGGGAACCAAGTGCGAAGAAGGTGCTAGAACTCAGCACAGGGATCAACAGCATTGCGAGAAAGGAGACTTCAGCGGACGAGAGGTCAGCATCTCCGCAATCGACGCGTTGGACAGGAATCGGTACTCCAGCGACGCGTTAGACAGGAATCGGTACCCCAGGGGGCGTTCCTCAGATGAGAGGGACGGCAAGTACAGCACGACCTACAAACCAGGTGACACCAAACCCACGAGCTCAAAAGTTATGCCGCAATCGGATGACTCGAACCTTGACGAGGGCTACAACGACTCCCTGACTTCGTCGTTGCAGAAGGAGAAAACATCGCGGCGGGCCAACAAGAACAGGATCACGAGGAGGGTCCCGAGGTCTTCCATCAACACGCTCTCTTCACAAACGACGTCCTCGGAGAGTCACGAGTACCACACCGCCGTGACGCCCAGCGCGTCAAACCCTCCAGCGGCGGCGGTGGCGGCGGCCGAGGCGAATGCAAGCAAGAACTGCACCTGCTCCAGAACCGATCAGCGCCAAAAGAACTGCCCTGGCTGCCTCATGGAGAGGGCCGCGCTGGCGAAGGCCTCCAACCACTCGGACAACTCGCTGCCGTCCCGCAACTTCCAGTCGTCTCACAAGTGCTACACGTCACCCTCGACGTCGCAGCCCGCCAGGGAATCGGTGGACCGGGGGGCCACGACCTGGAATGTCCGATCTTCTTGTGACGCCAACAGATGGACCAGCCCGGAGCGCAGCGACGCGGCAAACCGATGCCCGTGCTCGGAAATGACTCAAGTCGTGCACAGGAAGCCGTCGACCGCGCTGACTGAGATCTCGCTGCCCTGCGGCAACAAGCTGGTGCGCTGCAAGAGCATGTGTCCGAGGGCGAGCCTCTGCGCCTACATTGCGCGGTACATCTGGCCCAAGGTGACCAAGGCGTTTGTGACGAGCGTGCGCTACGGGTTCATCATCTGCGTTTACCTGGTGCTAATGTTCTTCGTAAGGAGATACATCACTCTCAACGTTTTTGCCCACCTGACGGTTCTCTTCCTAAACATTCTGCTGATGTTTATTCTCGCGTTCACCCCGGAAAACATGTACATCTACCTCTTTGGACAGAGCGAGTGAAACTCCGGGAAGGTGTACATCATCTATGGACAGACCGAGAGAAACTGACACCGGCAACATCATCTACTCAAACTTGGGAAAGTATTTCAATTATCAAACAAATAATGAGGTGAAACGGTCAATTAGATCACATATTTTTAACTTTCCCCCTTCTTTTGTATCTAGTTGCCCGGAGAGTTCGTTATGAACTAAGGATACCTTGCTAAACATTTCCGCTTGGTACCGCGAGGAATTATGGTAAGCCATTATTTGCTGATTTCCGCGGGATAGTGAATGAGACGAGAGCGAGGGGAACTTAGAATGTTTTGAAAAGATTTCCAAAAAGAAATAAAAGTCTCTTTGCTCATTATACTTGTTGCTGTTTTTTGTGTGCCTTCGTTCATATAATTTAACAGGTCTTAAACATACCGACGTTGGTAAGCCTGGAAGGTATACTCAAAATGGAGATGCTTCACTTAAAAGCCAGCAATATATAAATTAGAAATAAACATACTTTACTGAATTTATTAGAGATTATACTATGTCTTAGCCCAGCTGCTCTCAACATCGGACATATGGCCCCAGTGGGCCATGGCATAATTCATAAAGGCCGCTAAACACGTGAAAAAAAGACTTCATGTATATAAAAAGAGCAGGTATTTACAAATGAATAACATGGAAGGGGTACACGGAGGTATATAAAATGTGAAGGTGGGTCACGGGTCTATAAGAGCTTGAGAAACATTTTTAATGGTATGAGACCAGGCACTGTAACTGGTACGTGGCCGGTCACGCGTCTTACTGTTGTGGGAGACCTTTGTTTCCAGATGTTTCAAGCTTTTTACTTAAACCTCTCACTAGTTAATCCCAAATGAACAAAGGCATTCTTTTTCACCTGGCTAATACGAACCCAATCCCCCTTTGTTTATGACGCGAGAATGGTGCAAATACTCGCCCCATGGTCCTCCGCTTCCAATCCTTAATAACGAGGACTTAGAGAGGGGGATACGGTGCGCTGCTGATGCACACCCGTAAAAGCTTGTCTGATTTGTTGCTCGACAAAGCTCAAGTTTTATGTGGCTCTTGTCGTCTCCCGGCGTGCTCGTTTCATCACGAGCCCGACATTAATCTCCGGAACTTAAGTGGTGACCCCCCATACCAACAGGTCTGAGTTTCCCGGCAATCCACGATCAAGAGTCCGGGGTCTGTAATAAATAAATAACCGGATTTTTTAGCATCTCGCACTGCCTCGCAATATTAACGGTTTCAATCCGACCTTGACCTTTTATTTGCGTCCCCCGACCGGGGAAATCTGCCATAATAAAAGTGGCAAATGCTAGACAAAGTACAATGCAGAGATTTGGCTCAAGTGGGCGGTTTTACCCCGTCCTGATGAACATCAGCTTTACGCGCCTTCTGGAGACTTCCTTATTGGTCTCCGGCCATCAGTATGGCGGACTCTATGGCGCCCCAACTAAATCTTTTTTTCTTTTTTTTCTCTCTCTTTTTTTTTCTTTTTTTTTCCGTTGTTGTAAACTGGCCATTGAAAGATATCGAACCAGAAATAGAAGATGGCTTGTCTTAAAACGTAATAAATGCCACCTCCTAGAACATCAGCTTTACGAGCCTTCTGGAGACTTCCTTATTGGTCTCCGGCCATCAGTATGGCGGACTCTATGGCGCCCCAACTAAATCTTTTTTTCTTTTTTTTTTCTCTCTCTTTTTTTTTTCTTTTTTTTTTCCGTTGTTGTAAACTGGCCATTGAAAGATATCGAACCAGAAATAGAAGATGGCTTGTCTTAAAACGTAATAAATGCCACCTCCTACTATTGGATGTGCCGCTTAAAAGCAAGATGCAAGCGATGGTTTCGTTAAGCCACTAAAGTATGGCTGTACACTAAATTAAGGCATTTTTAAATGGTTTGACATAAAGAGGGAGGTGGCAAAAATAATGCCCGCACTCAGAGAAGTCAAATAAATAGAAGACTTAATATTTAAATCCAAGAACGAAAGATTGTGTTCTTTGCGTATGAGTGGGGGAATGTTTAATATAAAAGTTAGATGTGTTCATGCTCCCACCGAAGACGCAAAAGGTCAGAGAACACTTTAATGAGACACCGGAAGAGATCTATGATGAGGCCCGACGACATGATATTAAGATATTGACACGTGACTTTAATCTCAAGATAAGGAAAGAAAACGTGTTTACGCCTACTATTGGCAAGGAGAGTCTGTACATGAAGAATCCAATGACAATGGGATCTGACTCCCTGACTTCGCTTCAGGAAAAGGGATGACACTATAGCAGCACCAATTTCACGCAAAAAATATACATAAAATATATTTATCCGGATGTAATCACCCACAAATAAATTGACCATGTTCTAATCGATCTAAGGCATGTTTCAGACATTATACTAGACGTAAGAAGTTATCGAGGAGCAGATGCAGACTCTGACAATGTACTTGAAAGGGTTAAATGTAAGCAGAGAATAAGCATAGTTCACAATGGCCGTAAACAAAGAGAAAAACGATATGATTACAAAATGCTTACCAAAGACCCATGATTAACTGCAGATGGTTACCAAAGTGAAGTAGAAGCACAACTAGGATCATCACAGGAGGAAACGAACAGGGAAAACAACATAAATGATAAGTGGCATAGAATAAAAAATGCGAAGAAAAGATCAGCAGAAAAAGTAGTAGGATCCCAGCAAACCAACAGTAGAGTAGGCTGGTTTGATGATGACTGCAGCGAGGCTGTCGAAGAAAGGCACGAATGACCATGCATGATACAAAGGGAAACCAGAAATCCGAGACAAAAATACAAGGAAGCCAGAAGTAAGGCCACGAAAATGTGTAGGGGAAAAAATGGGGGAATGGGGAAAAGCTGAACTAAAAGAAATAAATATAATAAAGTTTATTGGAAAAACACGCTTCATCCCCAAAAGCTCGAAGCGCGGTACAAAGTCAACCATATTAAAAAGAGAAATAAAAAAAAAAAACAATCTAAAATGTACCACATTTAAAAACAGACGCAACAATATAAAACTACATACGCGCATACCCAGTCGAAGTCTTTCATCCCATTTCAACCATAAGCAACACAAGCCATATACATAACTGTAATAATAGTAATAATAAAATAGAAGACTTAGAAAGAGAGATAAACAAGAACATAAAATACGAAGAGACTGGATACCAAGCCAGACCTCAAATGTGTCAAAGCAATGATCGAGTATTAATTACGGAAAAAAAATAAATTACTGGAGAGGCGGGCTGAATATATTGAGGGAATAATAAATGCAGACAATAGACAAGATGAAGATTATCAACCACCACACAGAGGACCAGACCCTTTTATAAACTCAACAAGTTTGAAAGAAACTACAGAAGCAATCAATTCTATGAACAATCACAAAGTTCCTGGAGAAGACCTCATCACAGCAGAACTTACTAAATATGGAGGGAGTGAACTACACACTCAGACACATACATTTATAACTAAAATCTGTCGAGATTCCTACAGAATGGGAAAGAGCATTAAGTGATAACCCCAATACACAGAAAATGTTCCAAAGGCCAATGTACAAAGTACTGAGAAATTTCCTTATTAGATGTTACATACAAAATAATGAAAAAACTGATTGCTAATACAAAAAAAAGCTTTTATGCACTTAGAAGACGCATCACTTCAAGTAGGACTGGAAGTTAAACGACTGTGTTAAGAGAAGGACAGACAGGTGAATTAATAAAAAGGTAAAACAAATCAAACACCTAGGATGCTTGATAAATAAAGGAAATGAATTACTAAAAGTAATAAAAGTAAGAATATCGACCGGAAATAGGGCTTAGTTCATTCGTCATAAAATACTCAAAAGTAAAAACATTACAAGAAAAACAGAGTAAATTATATACACAACTGTATTTAGACTGTTGTAACATACAGAAGTGAAATGTGGATCCTAACAACAACGGCAGAAAAACAACTAAACACATGGGGGAGAAAAGTTCTCCAGAAAATGTATGGACCGACATAGGATGAAAAAGGATTGAATAAGGCTTGAGAATACGGACCAATCAGGAATCGGTACTGTTTATATCAAGATCCCACGCCAGTATCAGAAACGAAAAAGGGCAGGCTGCACTGGACAGTATATATTTAAAGAATGCCAAATAAACCATCCCAATGTTGCTGAAGGACTTGATGAGAACCATTTCAACCATCCCAATGTTAATGAAGGACTTGATGAGAACCATTTCAACTATCCCAATGTTGATGAAGGACTTGATGAGAACCATTTCAACCATCCAAATGTTGCTGAAGGACTTGATGAGAACCATTTCAACCATCCCATTGTTGATGAAGGCGTAGGGTGCGGTTGGGGGGGGGGGGGGGGGGGGGGGGGGGGGGGGATTGATGATACCAATTTTGGCACAAAATCTACTTTCGCAATCTATGCCAATGATAGTTCGGATAGTTTGGATAGTTGGGATAGTAGTGATATTTTGGATAGGTGGGATTGTTGTGATAGTTGTGATAGTTCGTATAGTTGTGATAGTTGGGATAGTTGTGATAGTTGTGATAGCTGGGATATTTGGGATAGTTTGGATAGTTGTGATAGTTGGGATATTTGTGATAGTTTGGATAGTTGTGATAGTTGGGATAATTGTGATAGTTTGGGTAGTTGTGATAGTTGGGATATTTGTGATAGTTAGGATAATTGTGATAGTTGGGATAATTGTGATAGTTTGCATAGTTGTGATTGTTGGGATATTTGTGATAGTTAGGATAATTGTGATAGTTTGGATAGTTGTGACAGTTGGGATATTTATGATAGTTGGGATAATTGTGATAGTTTGGATAGTTGTGATAGTTGTGATAGTTGGGATATTTGTGATAGTTGGGATAATTGTGATAGTTTGGATAGTTGTGATAGTTGGGATATTTGTGATAGTTAGGATAGTTCTTCTTCTTCTTCTATATCTTAAGGGCCCACGATCAATTTATTGATCATTTTGGCTCCTATGCATGTAGATGGGATTTGCAATGTTTCTGTTACTGGTGGTGATGAGGAAATTATGCACTAGGGGTTTGAAGGCTTGAGGCATTAGACACAAATGTGTCTAGTGTTGTCGCCTCAACTGTTTCTTTTGAAAGATGGTTCCAGTCCCTGATTGTCTTGGGCAGGAATGAGCTGCTCCTATACTGGCTTCTTGCTGGTATGAGCCTGAATTGCCTGTCATGGCCTCGTCGCTGTCTATGGGGGAGAGGGACGAGTTTCTAACAAAGCGTGCTGCTCGTCGCTGGAC